TCATGTGGAAAATAGAAAAAGGGATAAAAAAATTAGGTGGAAAGCAATAAACAGCTAGTTCAGTACTTCAAACCATGATTTTGCTGGTTTGGTAGATTTTTGTTACAGCTGAACTGGCGCACTAAGAATGAAGAAAAATTTCTTGCACAACACCAGTCTATTATAATGAGCAATCTTCGGAAAACCCCAGACAGTTACTCCGGAAATTACCACACAAGATAAGACAATAAGGTCCTAGAAAATCTGCTTGCCTCCCCCTCCCCTCCCACCTACTGTTCCTCGTACTCTCGTACTCATAATTTCCTTGCCCCCCCCCTTTTCCGCACCCACAACCCATCTTCGTCCAATTTTTTCCCATTACATCCATTCATTCAAAACACTCCTGCTGCTCACAGCACACATGTAACTCACTGTCTTCCGAAAATTCGAGAACCCTCTTCATTATAGCTTCCAAGTAGTGGTCCAGAGGACGGATCCGCTCTGCGAAGACGACCTCCTGCCTTTCTGTCTCCTCTCCGCCAGGGCTGTCCTCCCAGCCCTCTTCATCCTGGCCCGCCTTGAGCTCATCTGGGCCTAACTGCGTGTCATCTGATGTCATCTGACTGCCATCTGGCGTGCCCACACGTTCGCCAACTGGCCACGTCTGGCTGCCATCTGGTCCAGTGTGGACGCCAACTGGGTTGACTTTCTTACCGTCTGATGTCGTGTGACCTTTATCTGGTGCTGTCCACTCGCGATCTAATGTCGTCTGAGGTTCATCTGACACTGTCCGTTTGCTGGTTGAATTTCCCTGGATGTCACCTGGGCCAACGTGAACGTCTTCTGGAACTGTTCGACCACTATCTACCTTACTCAGCTGAAGGTAGTCTGGACCAGCCTGCGTGCGATCGGAGCCTGACCGCTTGCCAACTGACCTCGTCAGACGTCCGTCGGGCTCTACCTTGGTCAACACCAGCCTCGTCTTGGCGCAGTCTGGGCGTGTCTGGGTGGACACTGATCGGACTTTGATCACCGCCGAGGACAGCAGCTGTGGAAACGTTCAGGAAAGGGGGCG